TCATCTCCGTCACTACATCCGACTATGTGGGATTTCTTTTTCTTGTGTCTCTTCACGAGGGTAAAACCATTGTCGGGATCTCCATCTTGTTTGGAATTTTTTATATCCGTGGGTTGATTTGTTGGGTTTTTATTGACATCATCCCTCAAATGTATCAAGTCGTTAGCTATTTTTTGAGTTTGGATTTTCTCTATTTCAGCAGCTACTTGGTTCACTTTTATTGTGCCACTCTGTAATCTAGAATTCCCTTCATTCAAAGTAGTCAATCTTGATGACGAAGCCGTTTGTTGGGTTTCTATGTTCATTTTTCATCAAGTTGTAGTCTCGATATTTAGAAATTGAGAATAACACAATAATTCAGATGTGAATCACCCTGTGATAAAGATCAGCTTTGGTTGATTCTGTACATGGTTGTTCTTTCTAAAGGTTGAACTGAAAAACTGCTAGCAGAAAATTCTGATTAATTTGTCTTTTCTTGGAGATATGGGTAGATGAAAAGGGGGCATTCCTCAACTTCAACACCCTGTATCTCAAAAACTGGTCATAGGATAGGATTAGGACTCGGCATATTTGATCATTAGGTCGAGTTCTATAATATACCAGAAATTCAGGAAATTCGACAGAACGCCATTTTTATATAGAAAAAGAGCGGGGTCCTTTCAGATAGAAATATTATAAATTTAACATAATTTGTAGTTCATTAAGCAGGTATTGATGTTATATTAGTAGTCCAGTGAGTGTATTGTGCTTTCATCATGGACTGACTGCTGCAATGTGTGAGGACCAAAAGCAAGTAAATAAACTATTATTACAGGATTGAGTTAGGACTTCCTGTCATTCATGAATTCACCATTGAAAGTTGAAAATATGAGGCACTGTCTCATTCAAACAAATAAATTGTGAAAATGAAAATGTGATCCCAAATGAATGTGTCATGTAGTCTGTATATTTGGTTTGGAACTTTGGAAATTTAGCAAGATTCTCCCACGCCTTGCTAATTTTACAGTAGGAAACTCGGTAGGAAACATCTTTTAATAGGAAGTGATGACACCATTTGACTTTCTCATCTATGTCACTATGAAAGTACTTCTTTTGAATTCCAATCAAAATCTAGTAGCCATGACAATGACAGCAAATGCCAAGTCCTTATTGTTGAATAGCTACTAGATTCCAGTGCCATTTAATTATACCAGAGGTGACTATGTCTTGGGAAATTCTAATTTGCTGACGAAATTTACAAATTCAGTATACAATTATTTCATATTTTAAGCTATTGAACAAGATACCACATTGATAGTACTTTGAAATTTGAGTCCCATATAACAGCTCTAAAAAAAAAACTGTCATCTGGTTGTTACCTGTCAGCTTCACTAACTGCCTATTACTCCTTCATTGAAACTCATTTACGGTATGGAATTCCATTCTGGGGGAATTGCAATCAAATTCTGTTGCAAAGTATATTCGTGCTACAGAAACGTGCCCTGAGATTTATATTTAAAGTCAAGATGCGAGAATCGTGCCGCCCGATTTTCTCGGGATACAAAATTTTGACACTAATAGAAATCTTCATTCTAGAGACGACTTGTTTATTGCATAAATACAGAAGTAACTTCCTTATCACTAATGTAGAGAGGCCTACTCGGCAGAAAAAAAAACTTGCTACCCCAATTCCCACTTCATCCTTGACAAGGGAATCTCTGATTTACAGAAGTAAGCAGGTGTACAATCATTTACCAACGGAAATTACAAGTATAAATGATATGAAACACTTCAAAAATAAAGTTAAAAAACTTCTCAAAGGGAAATGTTTTTATACCTTAGAGGAATACTTAGCTTATAGGTTCTAGTCTTTCCATGTGAAGTGAACTGTGGTATATTTTCTTGTTTTTTATAATTATAAATGTAAAACCTATATATTGTTGGTCAGCCACGTCAATACGTAAATGTGTCTGGTCTTTTATATCATTATTTTATTTTATTTGCAGAGGGTGGTTTATCCTTGTGAATTTTGAAAGTGGGTGGCTATGGAATAGTGGTAGTAGCTACTACTTGGGTGGTAGTATCAAGATACTGTCATGACATATGAGTAAGTTATGTGTTTCTACCTATTTTAGGCGTTTTTTTTTTTTCAAAATTCACAAGAATAAACTACCCTCTGCACAGGGGGTGCATGGGTGGGTATGGATATCTCTGGACTGGAAATATGTGGATGGTAAGGATGGTAGTAGTTGTTTATGCTGTTTGATAGCATCATTTTTCGAAAATTCCTTAAAAACAGAAAATTTTCATTTCGGTCAGTAAATTAGGTATGTCTTTATTGACTAGTGGGTTATGAAATGAGGAAAACTACCTTGGTAGTAAAAAAATACTTCAAGTACGCCTCGAAAAGGAGTAAATAATGGTAGGTTTCATAGCTAAAAAAAATATTATATACCTAAGTAGGTACTTTTAGAAATGGGGATGCTCTGCAAGTTTAAGGAATTTGTAACAAGCTCAAGAACATACCTAGGTACTCTGTAGCACTCCTCTGATAAATGAGAGTATCTATTTAAATATTTAAAAAATATCAATGTTCAATGTTCAATCCCTACATTATTTTCAAATTAATAGCAATTGAGAATCACCCATAGGTAGTTCCTGTTGTAAGTGATTCGGTCTTTGGAGTTGGTATCCGAGAATAGAAACGTACCATTGAAGCTAGTAGAATACTTACAGATTGTATTGGAATAGGTGATATAATAAAAAATCTTTCTTCCAGATTTCAAAAAACTGCAGGAAGGACACCAACTCACACTAACGACTCACAAAGTCACAACCTCAGTCACAACCCTTAACCCTTATGACCTCTAATTTTATAGTTGTGTGGTGTGAAAATGGCAGCCAAAGATAGCAGCCAAAATCTCCGAACATTGACGAAGACCCAGTGCCGGACCTATATGAATAAATTCAACCCAACACATGAAATAAATATGTATATAAAGGGTGTACATAAAAAACTTCTGCGATGTCATAGGGTAGAAATCATGCAAACAGACCAGAGGAACGATTTGCCTATCAAAAAAATCCCCGCAACCCCCATCGAACAAAAAATATCATGTTCTACCCTATACATGAAAAATTACATTAAGGGTGAAAATAAAAAACTGATACGATGATGAAAGTTTATATCACTTGAATAATAGATATTTACGTAATCAGTTAGGAAACGCGTTGTTTTGTGTAACGATGGGTTTTTGCGGGACGAGCGAAGCGAGATCCCGCAACATCACCACTGAACTATACCCTACCTTATCTCACCTACCTTGTAGGGTATAGTTCACAGTTCAGTGAACATCACAGAGTTACACAAAATGGCGTTTCCTAACGTGTCACGTACAATATTTTTTCTAATTTTGACGAAACATTTCGCATGAACAAAAATAATGACCAGTTTTACATGAGTTCTGCCGACTCTTGTTGTGTGAAATGAATGAATGAAATGAACATTACATCACCAGTTATGTAAAATTTTACTTTACGCAACTGGTTACGTAAAGTAAGACGTTTCAAAACTTCCGTCAGTTTTGAAAAGTGTCACATTACATGTCAAAATTAGAAAAATACATAATATTTCACATTTCACAATCAGTACGTATTTGAAAAGAAAAAGCCGAATCAAAAATGTCAATCTGTGTATATATAATTTCTATGACATAATCACGAGTTTTCGCAAATTTCAACACCACCCAATAGGTATTGCAGTGGCGCGTTTCACCAGGTTCACCCTTTTTTTAGTGGGCGATTCGCCGATACGTTCCAGCAAGGATGACATCTTTTGTCAATTTGTCATTCCATATCATCAATAGGCGGCTCGGTGGTCGAGAGCGTAAAGCGGGGTTCACAACCAAACTTTTTACGTTTTGCTTTTTACGTTTCGTATTCTGATTGGTGAAGCAGAATCTGAAATTAAACGTGAGCAAATGTCATTCACAACAACAAAAAATCGTGACTTTTTATGACTCAGTTGCGAGAATTGACAAGCCCCGGGGTTTATCGCGGGAGAGAGAAGGACATATAATGCCCTCTCACTCGCGAGAATGCATTTGGCACATAGCCGAAGCATAGTACTTCATCATACTTCGTCTCGTAAGCAACTGGTTGGCTCAGTAGGCAGAGCATCGGCATGCCAAGCCGGCGGGCCGGGGTTCGAATCCGTGCGAGGCCTCATCTTTTTTTTATTTTTTCCTTGTTCTCAAGTGATTTCTATGGGAAATAGGTTCATTTAGGGGTTTTCTATGTTTGTGGTTTAGGCCAGAGGTGAGGTTCGGTTAGGTTAGGTTAGGTTAGAATAGAATAGAATATTTTATTTGGTGTTAATAAACATTAAGTTTTACACAGGTCAACGAAACAAGTACAGATATACTCATAAAATAGATAGGTTAGGTTTTCTCATTTTTTATGCAGAAACAATAATTATTTTCCTTCCTCAAGAAAAATTCTCCTTCTTCAAGAAAAAAGGTTCATCTGAGCGAGAGCGAGTTATACGTCCTTCTCTTTCCCGCGATGAACCCCGGGGCTGGTCAATTCTCGCGACTCAGTTGCCTTGGTTTTGTTATTTGTTTTTCATCCTGAAATGAAATAAATAATCAACAATAATATTGATCAGATAATTAATAATATTGAATTGATAGAACTGGCGGTGATGAAAATTGATCCTTATTCAATACTTTAAGGGAAAAATCAATCTTCAACAAGAAAATGATTGAACAGTATATACCTATCTACTATTCTGTGGATTCACGAAAAAATCATGAAAACATTATCATAACTTCCATATTATTACAGAATGTTTCACATTATTCGTCTATTTTTACTATTTTCACAGACGATGGCTTCTTGCAACGCAAAAAGCTGAATATTTTCAGCTTTTTGCGTCATTTCAATTACAAATTTTGCTTCACCAATCAGAATACGAAACGTAAAAAGCAAAACGTAAAAAGTTTGGTTGTGAACCCCGCTTAGGCGCTGAGCCGCTGAGTTCGTATGGGGACTCCCACCCGAGACGGTTCGAAAGTATCTGTCACTTCCAAGTGATTTTTTTGGATTTCCCGATGAAAATACAGCCAGATTGTCACTGTCATAGGTCAGATTGTCAGTATGTCAGTAGTCAGTAGTTTTATTTTCATTTTTTCATGTTATAGTTTATAATAGGTTATACTGTTATACAAAACAAGAAAACAACGTACCACGATCATAAAAATTCCATGTTATTACAATCAAATTAATATTTGTAGTTTTAGTATTTCTCGCGTTATTAGTGGTTTCAATTGTGAAATATTAGAAATCATAATTTCACTCCAATGGTTCTCATGACAATGATTGCCAGAGTGGCAGATGGCCTTCCTTTGGCTGCCACAATGCAAGAAGATGAACAGGTAATTAAAACATCATTATGATTCTCAAAATTATAATACATTTGCCACTTCAATTTTCAGTCAGGAAGGAGTATATTAGACTATCAGAACCAAGCAAAAATGTTATTTAGAAAACTAGGACCACAATCCCCTGTCAGATGTACAATTGAGACAGGACCATATTTATTCCAGTAGGATATTGCACGTTTCCATACAGAATGAATGTATATTTGGCTCATTATTTTCCAGCTATTTGATAGAATATGAAGTTTGTTACTTGGTATTGTGTGAAAAAAACTATTCCAAGAGGCTGGCTTATTCATACCTTGAAGACATTGCACAAGAATTCCATACCCAATATGGAAAACGAGTAAACACAGTAACCAGACCATATACATTCATTGAATTTGATACATTTATCCAAAAGTCAAAGAAACAGTTCACAGACTCTAGGTCTAGGAGAAACTTAAATGCTATCAACAATCAATTACAAGATGTTCAAAGAATAATGGTACAAAACATTGATGATGTGCTACAAAGAGGAACTGTTCTATCTGGTATGTTGATATAAAATACAATGATATCAGAATTTCAGATACTTGTTGGAGAATCCAATATCCATTAGGGCATATAGAGGGTTACTTCTGAAAGCTTTCTGGCAGAAATTTTGATAAATAGGTAATTCATTCATTCTAAGAACAAATATCATTTATATCATTATCATTCAGACCACAAGATAAACTAACAGGATAAGAAACTTCCATCACATATTGCACATGGTAGGACAAACAAACTAGATAAGGTAATCACCCTGTTTGTTATCCTAATTAAGCTAGCAGATTTTTAAATTCTTTCTCTGAATATAGTGGACCTGTTTCAGTGAAAAATTATATTTCATCATTTCAGAGGACTGACCCTAACTAGTTCAGGAACCTGTTTGTTCCAAACTCCTCAGATCTGTAACTTTTTCAAATAATTATTGAAATTCATGATATTTCATAACATGTGAAATAAGGGAAAACCTGTGAAGAATTTTTCAAAATTTAGTGAATTTTTGAATTTTTCTGTAATTCAGTGACATTTCTGATCATCTCTCCTCATTTCCAGGAGATAAAGATTCTGGAAACCTTTTTTATTCAGATTAAAAAATAACAAAAAACATAAAAAAATGTGTGTAGAAGTCCATAGTGCTCAAAGTGGAGTGGTGGTAATAGAGGGGAGAAAAATTCTCTCCAAGACATCTCCATGTATTTTAATATGGAGGTGACTTGGACAATTTCTCTTTCTTAATAAAAAAATAATATAAATTTTCCTGTTCATTCCAGCAATAGGTACATTGGTGAATCACAAAATATATCCCTCAGACATTATTGAAGTATTTCTTTTGTCAAATCACATGTTAATTAACCTGTCATACCATGACAACTCATATTTCTAGCTGTTCCACATCATTCAGATCTAGGGTTGCCACCTGTCCTGCTTTTCACAGGACGTTCTGAATTTGGGGTACTCTGTCCAGTGTCCTGTCTAGATCACTTGCAAGGCTCCATATGTCCTGTATTTTGTCAAATGAAGGTTTTCTGCTCAATGAGTAAAGTATATCCAATATCAATTGCAGAATATCTCCCATTGTGCGGCGTCGGCGTGTATGAAGTTTCCTTTGAAGTGACTGCAGGTGCTGCAGGAGAATCTGCAATTGTTTTTGGATGAACTATAACTACCTATTTTCTCCCAGGAAGCAGCAATTATGATCCTAGTTTCATTAGATTAGGTTGAATATTAGCTTAAATTGAAGTTAAATGGGTTGTGATAGAGTCCAGTAGCAACTTAGTACAATAAGGTAGATAGAGAGGGAGAAAACGTCTATTTTGGAAGTGCAGCAATTTTTTGAGAAGCATCATTGATCTCTACCATCTCTCAATACCATTCTCATAATTATAATGCGATGTTTAACCCCCTCTTTACCCACTATTGCATCTTTCATGTAACGATAGCACTTCTAGACATGAATAGATCTGATGATAGCTCGCCAGTGACATATCATAATTGTTCATGAAGTAGTTTTTAGGCGAGTTTTTAGGTGAGGTTAACTTGGAAAATAATAAAAAATAGTCTCCTACTGGTAGGCGTTAGAGATTCATATTGCTAACTTGGTTATCATACTGTTGTTGAAATCGAAAAGTGATGTGCCTTGAAAGCAATAATGGTATGGCATTTGATAAAAAATTCCACTATTCAATTTTATTCCCTGACGGATTAAATGTGCCACTTTAGTCCCTCAAATGAGGCATTAAAAGTACCCTTTCATCCCTCGACATGCATAATCTAACGTTCTTTATAGCTTTAAACACTTGAACTTTTATAATTCGTCAAACTTTTCAACATTTCCATTGAAATTTCATTTGTTCCGATTTTCAATGCAGGATAGCATTTTCAACTACTATTTCCTGAAAATCAGAAATTCAAGAGTAGCAACCCTTTTCAGATCTGTGACTTTATTGTTATATATCAGTTAAGTTATAAGTCACATTGGTTCCTATAAGTTTCAATACTGCTGTAGGAGAAATAAAAGCTCTCACAACAAGCATATTCTTCTCTGCTTATCTTGTCTCCAATGTTACAATGTGAATTCATATCCGTCGTTTCAAATTCATGTGATCAGAATATCTCCATAAAAACCACTATAACTATCTTGAAAATTTTCCTTGATAGGAAGATTAGTTCAATTGCATGGAATAATGGAAATGGAAATAATCATTTGAACCAATAATTCAACAATGATTATCAGGCAAACATACTATTTTACTATGCAGTTTTTTTTCATAGGCAGCTGGTTGAAAAGTCATATTTTTGATAAGACATTCAATCTGAAAAATATTTCGTTATAGGTAGTATGGATACTACTTCATATTGAATTTTAATTGACAAAAAGTCAACAAACACCGGGCAGTTCTGCATAAAAATAACTATTTTCTGCTTTCACTTTCCATGATCCAAAATTGATATTTTTTTCAAAAAGAATATGAGGTCTGAGATTGAAACATATGGATTTCTTTGGAAATGTGTTTTGTCTGAAAGGTCGTTTTTTTTCAAACATGGATATTGAAACTTCCAATTTTCTTGTTATTGCTCATAGATGCAAAGTTTGAATTCTTCACAATTAATATACCTATCATGCAGTGAGACTTTTCGTGAAAACATTTTTAAAAAACTAGATATGTCAATCTAGAACCCTAATCACATTTCTTGGTTTTCAAAATACATAGTGTAATTCAATACATGAAAAGTGGGGATAAAGGAATTGCAAGAATGCATAGCGTATTCCCCATATACTATTCATGGACCAAAATTGATTTTTTTGAAAAACATGAAATATAGATGAATTCATAGTATATATACAAATGGCACATGAATTTCTTGACGTACTCGTCTTATCTGAAACACATATGATAGATTGTATAAGTAATTTCACAATTCTAAATTACCAACAGTATTATAATGAATCATCTATCAACAAATGTGACGGTGTCATGATTTACATAAAAAATAATATTTCCGCCGATATCACAGTGATACCGATAAATAAAACTCAATTTCTGAGAGTTACATTCACGACAGACTTACTTCCACAAAATGATAAAATCGGTATAACTGCATATTATACCGGGTGACACAGGCTATCGGGCCACCCCTGTAACTTCTGCATTCGTCAACGGATTTTTCTGAAATTCGGTACAGTTATATAATAATAATATATATGTTTATTGCAACAAATAGAAATACATTATATAGGTACATAATATATCGAATCTGTTACAAAAGGTACATAGTATGCATAGCATATTTACATATGCACCTGTTGATAAAAAAAAAAAAATTAAACACACAGGATACAAAGAATACAATAATTTCAAAACAATAGACCAACAGAAAAAGAAAGAAAACAAATCTAGCAAGAATATTCACATTTTCAGATTTTCATCTAGTATGAATTTTTTGAGTTTGTCTTTATAACCCTTCGTGAGACTTCCGTGTGGAATCATGTTATATATATGTGGTGCTTGGTAACTAAAACAGTTCTTAAAGAATTGCGTTTTATGCCTTGGAATCGACAAGTTTCCTGAATTTCGAATGTTGAGTTCATGAATGTCTCCCCTTCTGATTAGCAAATTAGATAGGTATGTTGGGCACTGACTATTGAGAACTGTAATTACCAAACAACTCATGTGTAAGAATCTACGTTCACCCATATTCAGAAGATTGGCATTTCTGATGTATGGTGTTATATGATCCCTTCTATTCAAATTGTAAATATATCTAATGCATGAGTTTTGAATTTTTTGAATACGAAATTTATTGAAAACCGATAAGAAAGGACCATACACACAATCCATATAATTCGGAATTGACAGGACAATTGATTCAATTAGCCTCAGTTTAGTTTGCATTGGTAAAACGTTTCGATATTCAAATATACTTTTCAATGCATGATATGATTTTTGACAAAGTTTGTTCATATGACAGTTGAAAGAAAGTTTAGAATCCAGATATAAACCCAAACATTTTACTTCTTTTGTCCATGATACTTTGATGCCATTTAATTCAATGTGGAGTTCTTCCGATGCATTCGTTGCTTTATGAAACAGGATAGCCTGTGTTTTATCAACGTTTATAAACAATGAGTTACGGTTTGCCCAATCACTGATACTAACTAAATCACTGTTGATGTTTTCCATTGCTGCCACGTGTGAACGGTAGTCAAAGGACATGTATATGGTTAGGTCATCTGCATACATATGATAGTTAGAATGATTTATGTGATTAACAATATCAGCAGAAAACACAGAAAACAAAAGTGGTCCTAGAATGGATCCTTGTGGAACTCCTGATTTTGTATGGTTTCCAGTAGAAAGTTCATAGCTGCCGTCCGAGTTGAAGAGCCGTACCATTTGGGTCCTAGTGTGCAAGTAATTTGTAAACCAACACAGTGATTTTTCGCTGAAATTGTAGTACAGTAATTTGGCCAACAATAACTCAAAATTAATGGAGTCGAATGCTTTTGATAAATCTAGCTGTATCATAGCAGTACATTTTCCGTCATCAGAGGCTCTAACAATGTCATCAGTGATTTTTAGAAGTGTTGTAGTGCAACTGTGGCCCTTTCGAAAACCTGACTGAAAGGTTGGAATAATACCATTATTATTTAAGTATGTCACTAATTGAAAGTTAACAGCTTTTTCAAGAAGTTTGGATGCAGCTGGCAGTACACTAATAGGTCTCAAGTCTTTCAAAGTGGGACAATCTTTCTTTGGAACCGGGCATACTAATGCTGTTTTCCATATATTGGGTATCGTCCCTGATTCCATAGAATAATTTATAATGTGAGTTAGAGGGTCTAAGCAGTATGGCAAACATAGTTTAAGCATATATGCAGAAATTCCATCAGCACCAATGGCATTAGATTTGATTGACATGAGCATTGATTGAACATCATTTTGTGTAATCAGTTCTAAATTGAAGTAACCATCAGTGTTAGCTGAGTCAGTTATCAGGTCAA